TGGAGATACCGTACTACCTGATGAATTTGGGATGATTTTGTTCCAGTTGAAGCAGGGCCAAGCAATTAAATTGAAAACTTCAGGCAAGATTAGAGAGAAAAACCAGAGCCCAGGAAGGAATCTGCATCATCCTCTGAGAACTAAAATGCTGAATTTCAGATAGCGCTAGTACAGGAGGAGAGAAAAAGCACTGGCAGACTGGAAACTGTATGAAGGTACCAGGAGGGTACCGAAAAGCAGACAGTCCTGGTGTCTGCAAGGTATGCAGTACCTTTGCTTTTACTGGATGGCAGCGTATGTGTCCCTGCTCTGTTTTAAAGGGTAAATCCCAAGCGCACCGCCTGCATTTTGCTTGCCCCAGATGAGTTTTGGGTGTGTGCCCAGTGCAACCCAGAGCAGGCTGCCTCTGCCAGTCCTGCATGGCCAACCTGAGCCCTTGTCCCGTGAAAGCAAACACCAAAACTCTGCTGGGCTTTGTAGAGGAACAGTGTTTCATCTCTGTTTTGGAAAATCCAGCCCACAAAGTAATACAAGAAAATATTCTTCAGGCTAATAACAGACACCAAAACCTGGATGCAGGTATGTATGTGAATTCAGAAAAAACAAACAAACAAACAAACAAAACCAACAAAAAAAACCAAAACAAAAGGCAGCACTTTGTCTCATTTTCTTGGATAAGGTTATGAATACTTGAGGCGACAGGCAGCCCAGAGCTTTTCCCTGACCTGGGAGCAGAGAGGGAAGAAACCAGCTAAGCTGAGCTTACTCGTTCACATCCATCCAAAGTCTGACAAAGAACCTCGTGGTGCAAAGTCCCCTTTAATTGTACTTTGCACTGTGAGAAATTAAGGGTTTTCCTGCCTTAAGGTTTCATCATTGTTAGAGGATTTAAAAACCCCAACTGTTCCCTCCAGCAAGCAAGACCGGTAGGGTTGGGTTAAGGTTTATCTGGGTATTTCTAAAAATCTGGGACTCGAACTGTCTGTCTGGAAGAGGCAAAGCATTGCACTGTATGTGTTATTATTTAACACGAGGGTTCTTCATTAATTTAGGAGTCACTTACGGAAAGCAGCACTGCTAGCACCTGACCCAGTGCTGCCCCGGCCATGGCCCTGCCAAAAAGGGGAAGCTGGAGGTCTCGGCTGCCTGGTGTCATCATCCTCGCTTGAATTGCAACCAGACCAAGACTTGGTCCTTGGGGAAGCTCTGTTTCATTTCCCTGTGCAAATATAACTGAGGGCTGCCTCTGTGAACCCAGGGCCTCTCATCGGCCACCAGGAGAGCGGGCTGGACCTCAGGATCTCCCGGAGGAAAGCCAGTGCCCACTGAAGGGCATGAGAAGGGACGGTGCTGCCATGTCTGAAGAGGAAGGTGAAAAAGTCCCTCCAAGGACTAGTTGAGTGAAGGTTCTGTTAATGGATACGTCTGTTTATTTTATTATCAGATTAAGCTGTTACATCCGTTTGGAGTGTTTGGGTTGCTGGAGCTGATCTTATACGTTCCATTTTCAGGATTTTGTGAGGCGAAAGTATAACAACAAATCAGCTTCCACTCACGTAAACCTACAGGTATCTTTCTGCCAAGAAGCATCCTGCTTTATGAAGTGTGAAACAGAGTTCGTGCCCTCTCTGAGCGACAGCCTAGCCGAGGCTGAAAAGCTTGGTGGACGTCTTTCTTTCTTTTTGTTCTTAGTACTACTTCTTTTAAAGCAGTTGCTTTCTCTTTACAAGGTGTTTCTTTAAAGTTGGCCTGGAAATTAGATGGGTAGGTTTGAAATAGATGCATACCCAGCAGCCTGATTTGGGTACCTTACTGGGGTGGAGGTGACACTGCAATTTCAGCCACCTCATGTATTTCTGTGATGTCCTAGAGGTACTGTGCCACGTTTACAGCTTGAAGTTCTTATCACCAGTATCAGGTGAACATTTTCCATTTATGGTAACACTGGGATTTCAGAGGGAAAACTATTCCTTCTCTTCCACTACTGGGCCAGTCACTGGGCCCAGTAGTGCTAATGTCGATTAGGAGACTCGGTTTAGAAAGGGAAAGGAGAGATGAGCTGGCTGGGTTTACATTTTTGGTTTTGTTTTTTTTTTTTTTCTTTGTATATACAGACAAAAGAGTCTTTACACATTAAAGAAGAGTTTTTCCTTAGGCTATTATCTCAAGAGTGACCTATCCAAATACAAATTTTTGGTTCTAATCCTTACGGGTTGGGGAGAGTTGTGCTACTTTATGGAGTACAAAGAAAAATTTTTAATGAGGAAAGAGACTTACTCTGCTTTATTTCACCTGAGAAACATTAGGAATACCAGTTTTGCCTGTTTTGCTTATTGTCCTTCTCAGATACATTAATTCTCCATCCCTGTAATTGGAGAGCCGAGTATTAAAGCAGCTTTCTCCTTCCTCAATTTTAAAAAAGGTTTCCCTGTCCAAGTGAGTCTTCCTGCCTTCATTTTTTAAGTTTTCAGTTTTCAGAGGAAGGAACTGGAGACACAAGACTTAAATAGCTATTGTAGAAGGCAAGTAAAGAAAAGCTCCCACAGCTATAACTTTATAAAATCCAAGGTAGGAAAGATAGAAAATGTCTGTGTCCAGCATTTCTTCCTTTTTATTTAACCAACCTAACACAACGGTCAGGAGGGTTTGGGGAAAGGCATGCTTGCTTACCTTCTCCTGCTTGAGCAATGCCAACAGGGCAGGAGCCAGCTGGAAAGCAGCCTTGCCCGTGGTGAGCTCTCCTTCTGCTTGCTGATCAGATCGGTTGCTGCAGGAATGCTTTCCCTCGGATGAAAAATTGTTATCTCTAAAGACTCTTGTGTTTATATTTTATGTCTACATACAGAGCTGAAATTGCAGACAGAAATAGCGATGTATTGGCCCTTTTTGGAGAGAAAAGGGTTTGATGGTGAGAAATCTGTGCCAGCAAGAACCAGCCACGGGGTGGCTGCTGGTCCCCTTCTGACTCCTTGCTTGTGAGGAAGGTTGGCAGCTGCTTGCCAAAGGCACTGGCTTAATCCAAGCTGTTTATCCGGATGTAAGTGACACTAAGACAATAACTTTTGCCTTTCCCTGGAAAAATCTGAGGGTCACGGTAGGTACCTTATGTGATGTACTCCCTGAACGGGAAAGCTAATGGCTTTGGGATTGTCATTAGGAAACAAAGACTTAAAGAATGGGTTCTTTTTTCTGCTAAGAGGTGTTTTTATTAATTCTTTTTTAATGAAGAAAATAAGAAAATTTCCACCCCCCTTTTGAAGGAGAAGGATTGGAGAATATGGGCAGATTAATGGAAGACTGTAAATCTTCCAGTGGAAGATTTCCACAGCAGTCTGTGTTTTGACAGAGAATAAAATGAAAGCATTAAGTAATTCTGTGTAATTCCTGTCAGCTCTCAGTCTGTATAAACTCTCTTCCGAAAAGCGATGGTCTCTTTTCCTGCTCCACCCCAGTTATAGAAAAATAAACATTTTCATTTGATCCCTTATTTTTCTATGCCAGATAGCAATCTGGACCTTGGAGAGAAAAGAGAAAAAATCTGCTCACTCTTTTTGTGTTTAATACACAAAACAGCTGAAGTAAATGTTTATGCAATTTGATGTAGGGTTGAGTTTTGAAATAGCAACTCCCAAATGTAATGGTTGTGGCCTGACACTTCTTAGCATGATTTTCAAGATTAGATAAATGCATGGCTTAAAGCAATTTTTTTTTTTTTTTTGAGTGGGATTTTGCATGTCGTGGCCCCCATGAGGGAGGCCTAGGAGAAAAAAAAAAATTGCAATGTGTTTGTCAGTTGGGTTTGCTTTTTTTTTTTTTTTTTTTTTTTTTTGAGTGGGATTTTGCATGTCTTTACCCTGTATGCTGGTTATTTGCAACCTGTGGTGGAAATTAGCCTCCTAACATCAGAAGAGTTTTTAAGGCATTGCTGTGAGTAAAGCTCTGCTGTGCGAGCGAGGGCTTCTGAAAGCCTGATCTGTCAATGTGTGGGTTTAACAAAAGAGGCTGTAGGAGAGCTCAAAGCAGTAATCTGTCCAAAGAAGCTCCAGGCTTGGTTTGCTGATGTGGGAAACCAGAGCCCTAGAAAAATCCTTCAGGAATACAGGGAAAAAATACATCTTAGTGAAGGAGAAGAATTAGAAAAATACCTATTCTGAGAGGTTTTTTTGAAGGCGAGAGTCCAGCCTGACTGGATGGTGAATGGGTGGTCGCCGTGTAGACGGTTGTTGAAGGAGAACACCAGCGTCCACTGGGTTTCTCCAAGCTGACTTCGTAGCTGATGCTCTTCATGTGAGTGCCCCTCAGGCTGCTGCATTCAAAATGACAGGAATTCAGGTATTTGAAGTTCACCCCATTCATTTTAACTGAAGGGAATGAGGGAGCGCTCACATCTCAGCAGGTACAAGGGCGGCAGAGAGGCGGTGATGGACAGGGCTTTGCTGGGCTGTCTCAGTGGTGTGCTGCTCCTTCTGCCTTGTGTGCCGGGCTCTTTGGTTTAGGGCCTGACCACCTGTGATGACTTTGCTTTCTGTCTGATCTCAGGCTTTTGATTTGCAGCTGCTTGGCCCCAGTTTTATGTAAATAACTTTTAAGATGGCTTTGTGTGGCCTCCCAAGCTGTAATGAACTTCAAATAAATAAATGGCACACCTGAGACCGTGACATACTGCTAAATAAAATTGCAAGAGGAGAGATCTCAGGGAAGATGCAGACTAAGGAGCGGTTAGGATAATTTCTCAGGAGAGACTATTTAAGTCTCTTATTTCCTCGTCAGATATTATAAGAATTCCCTGAAGCGTTTTGTGGTAGAACAAAAGCCTAAATAATCTTAATTCTTGCCAACAGCAGTCGTTCCTGTAAAATTCATGCCTTGCATCTGCCTGTAGCCTTCAGATAAATCAGCACCCCCTCACAATATCCCTACAAAGCAAAGAGTGCAAATGCAAGTCATGTTGCTCTGTCTTAAGCGGTTTAGTCAGCTCTCCAAAGGCAGCTGCTGGTTTTGCCAGGACGATTTCGTGTCCATTTCCTGAACCTCAAGCTTGTCTGGCACAGCAATTTGTATAACAACAGTTCTTGGTCACCCAGCATCTTCCCTCACCTGTGAAAAAATTAACTTTTCTTCCTATCGCAGCCACCTGTACGTGTGTGCGTGTATGTACAGGGGGAGCACAAGCACCAGCTCCTTCCCCCTGCTAGCCTAAACTACTTTGTTCCTGAACTGTCACATGTTATGAATCCACTGTACAACTTGCCAAAAATAAACAAAATTACAGGCATGAAAGAAAAAGTATTAGGTAGGTTTGTCAGGACAATATATGTTCCATGTAGTCAGGACAGGTGAGACCAGGCAAAGTTTTATTCACTTAGCAGAGTTTTCCAGCAGCACCCACCAGCTCTCCTGCTCATGAATTCCTGGGGTCCTCTTCTTCTGCCCCAGGGTGCTTGGCACATACCACCCCACCCGGGAGGCACCAACACCCTGGGACAGGGCACAGATCTCGTGTATTTTCAGATATTTTGAAATTGTTTTCACAGACAGAGTGAGCCTGATGAGACCCAGGAAGCACTCTTCGGACATTGCCAGGCTTCTTGAGAGGACCAGCACTGGGAAGTGTGGACCTACAGCCCTGAACAACGGCTGTCCAGAAACTTGGGGGAATCACCTAGATTTGGCCATAAGCTGCCAACGTCCAAGACCCCATGGCTTATGGTCGCAAACTGCTCGGTATGTAAAACCCTAACCTATGTGTCCCCACACTTAAGAAGAAAGTAGTGTCCGAGCAGCAGTTTGCAGCTGATTTCACCTTGGCTCATGGGGACACCAAGGCAGAGTCTGGCTCTGGGGCAGTGCCCATTGCTGCAGGTTCTTTGCTCTGCCCCAGAGTACCCTGGCACATAATTCCCATTTACCTGAGGTGTACAGTTACAGAGACTGGCATCCCACAGTTGTTCTTTCCTGTTGTCAAACCCCAACTAAAGAAAGATTGCGAGACCTTTCAAACCATTCTTTCTGTATGTCTGTCTTTGTCCTCCTTCTCCCTTTGCCATCTGCTACCCAAATCCAAAGTGTAGATGTCTGACACACCTGAAAGTCCTTGTTTTCTCTCTTATCCCATTTCATGCTCATGCTTTACAGAGTCATTCCAGCAATGTTTTTAGTTGCTTCTAAAGAGGTGCAAAATTAAGCATTTCATTTTTTTCAGTTCATTGTAGTAGCTTTTTTTAATGGGAATTTTAGTAGATTGACTCCTCATAAGTGAGGTTCTTTAAAATGACAGCACTTAAAAAATGTACATGTGGGATTTGGCAGATTACTCACCCCCTCACACACACCTAGTGCTAAGTGGCAAAAGGGTGAAAAATTCACCTGTTGGAGATTTGCAGCATAGATGATAAGTCTTCAGCTGATGTGAGTAAGCATAGCTTATAGTAGCATGGGATGCCGCTTGCTAATCCAACACCCGCAATATGTCAGTGACTCGTAGGCAGCGTAATTACTTCCCAGTGAGATTTTGGACAAAGGTATTTTGAAAGTGGGTGCCGGCTTCAATTGCTTTGGCTTTCTAGCTGCTTAGCAGAAGCTTGTGTATGGCAAACAGCAACCAGAAATCGTAAGAGCCCACCCTTAAAGCAGCAGAGTGTGGTCACTGGTGACGCAGGAGCGTGCCGCATGGAAGGCGACTGGCTAACGTCCTTGTGTTTGCACAAATCCAGAACTCTAGTAATTGCTTTGTGTATATTTTCGGTTTAAAATTTGGAGAGCTTCAGCCTTATTTATGCCCAAATTGATTTGACTGTGTGTCTGGGTGTGTATGCATCTGCAGCAGGGAATAATTCACACTATGTACACATTTTTAGGGAGATGTGGATTCTATCTTGGATTAAATAAAGCAAAAGAATATACAAAAGTAAACTTACAAAAGACCTCAGTGTCTAATATTTTTTTTTTTGGCTTTACAAAAGTCACAACTTTTGTGTACAAAAGTACTGGTGTTTACAATCCGTTCTAAGGAGCATAGAAGCCCGGAAAAATACTTCATAGCTACAGCTTGGTTGCTTGGATAGTTTGAAATGAGCAGTGAATAAAAGATGGCTTTTAACCAAGGAAATGCGACTGGGAGGATTAAGCACACAGGCAAATGATGGCAGTTAGAATTTAAAGAAATTTAAAGAAATTAAAAATTTAAAGAAAAGTCCTGAACAGATATTCAGAATATAATTTTGAAGTACAAGACAAAAAACAACAGAAGAAAAAAACCCAAACCCTGTGAGTTTTGAAAATGAGAAAAATACAGCAAGTGGAAGCAGATGCAGGAGGTTTTCCTCTATAGAATAATGGTGGGAATTAGGATGAGAGTATGCTAATCCATTGGTGAATCACAAGACAGAAGTTTGAAAAATGGACAGAACAGTGCACAAAAATGACCTGGAAGGATTGGTTGGTGCTGCTTAATATTCATCTAATTCCTCTGACATTAACCTAGATTCGGTTTGGTTACAGAAGTGGATGCGTGGAAGTCAGCCTTTACATGTCATGGGATATTGCTTTGAAACGGTTTTTCATGTACTGAAAACTCCCTGCAGGATGCCAGGAGCCTACCACCCCAACGTCTGGCTCCTGTGCTGGTGAGGTTGTCTTTTCTTTGGAAGGTGGTGTCTCTCTGACAAGCATCCTGATTATCAAAGTGGCTCAGTACTGATAGCATCAGGCACTGGTGAGAAACAGGAGCTTGCTGTAACGACAGGCTGGTGATCTGCCTTTTTGCCTCCGGAAAAGCAGTCCATAATGTTTGAAGTCTGATTGTAGCAGTGCATGTGGTTGTACAGGTGCCTGAAGTACAGCAGGCAGGTCAAAGATGCCTGTGAGCAGCAAAGAAGGTGCAAAGCTGGGGTACTTGAGTTACGCTTGCAGCCGGCGTGTAGAGCTTGTGGTTAGCCCTCGCTGTGCCAGTAAGCACTAATCAGAGACTGACGCTGAATAAACCTAAGAAAACCCTAAAAATGAAATACTCTCAGCACGTGCTCTGCATGTAGCATAATTGACGAGAATAACCCCCACGCAGCTGGTGAACCAGGAGCCCTAGGGAGGGCAGAATAAGATCAGAAGAAGGAAGGGGAAAGAGAGAGGAGGCAGGCTGTGGCAGGAAGCAAAGCCGAAGCAGAACTCACTCTGGTGCAGCGATACGTGGTCCTTCCCTCAGCGCCTGGGAGTCCCTCTGAGTGCCGGCCTCGGTGGAAAAGACTCATATATGCTGTTTATTAACATGCAAACCACTCCCCGTGACAAGCATGCCATCATGACTCTCTCTCTCCCCCTCTCACACACACACAGGCAAAGCAAATGCATCGTTCTCTCAGACAGGCAACCAAGCTTTGTGACTTTTTTGGACCAGTGCAGGAAATTGGGTACTGGAGCTTGTGTTCAAGGGCAAGAAATACTTTATTATTATTTAAATGGCACTTTAATAAAAATAGATACTGGGGAGCTGAGTCAGATGATAGGTGTGGTTTTTAAAATGTAAAAAGTTTGGAACAAGCCAAGAAACAGCTGTCTTTTAGATTATTTCTAACTAATGTGAAGCCCTCCAGTATTTGCTCTAATTGTAGAACAATGCCTTAAATGGCTGCAATCTCATTAAAACACAGGATCCAGAAATAATTAAAAAAAAAAAAGTAATTTCTAGGGCTTTGTCATAAATAACAACGTAGTTTAAGACTTTTTTTTTTTGCCTTTATCAGTGAAGAAGGGGACAGAGGATTTGAGCAAAGGCTGTCCATGAGTAATGCACATTAGTTGTTAGAGCTCTGTGATGTTACTGCTTTTCATCACCCGTGGATGTTGTGCTTTTTTGTTTGTTTTTTCTTTTTCCAATTAATTTGTACCTTGACCTTAACAAAGTCCATTCGGTGTTGCTGTGCTTTGCTTTGTTTTCCTCTTTGCGTGCAACCAGAACCTAGCAGCATTGGAGAAAAGCTTTCTGGAGCTAAAGAGATAGGTCTGATGTGTACCACACAAATCTGCTTTGAAGCCTTATTCACTTTGTATAAATAAACGGTTGTGGGTGTTCTTTGCAGGTGCAGAGAGCAGCAGTAACCAAAGCGCTCTCCCCTGGGATGAGGAGGTGCCAGATCCTGGCAGATTCCACCATTAATCTGCAGGTCAACTCACTTCCATGCAATACATGTTTTCCCCTGGTGTCAACAGCTGAGATTTCAACCTCCAGCAGCCTTTACAGCTAAGAACAAGTTTAAACAAACAAGCAAACAAAAACCCAACCTACCCAATTTGTCTTCTAATTGGGACTGGTATAATCTGAGTTTTGAGCCAAATTGTCAAGGCCGATGTTAATTGTGGTACTTCCTTGCTTTTGGACTTGCCTTGACTGCAGATTCATGCTTTAACACTTCTTTTCTCCAGCATGTCAGTGGGGGTTGTGGTGTGGTTTTGAGTACATCCTAAAAAGGGACATTTAAAATGTTTTAACTTAGCCACTATTTCACCAGTTTTTAATTGCTCATTGGACATAAAACAGCCTCTATGGGTCATGACAGTTCCTTCCATTGCAGAGAAGGAGCTGAGATTTTCTTTCCCCCATTTCATTAGCAGAAAACTGAAGTGATATTTTGATATTTATGGTTCTCAAAAATTTTGCTCTTGAAGTAAATGGAAGTAATATGAAACAAATTTATTTTACAAATATTTGCAAGATTTTGAGCCACTGAGAAGTTCAATTTACTTGATGTTGGAGCAGAGAGTGAACGCAGCAGTATGTTGTAGGTTCTGGTTCTCAACCTTCTCAAGGGGGAAGCAGAAGGTATTTTCCAGGAACTGTTTTCAACAGATAACAGTTTCCTCCTACCTTGGCAGGGTTGCCAGTGATAATACGTAGTAAAGCATTAGTAAGAACATTGGTAATCTAGCTTTTGCTTTCAATGTGAGGTGGTTAATGAATTAAAACTGTACTTCCACTCCCAGAGTTCCCTTTGTTGAGTTGGTATGAAGCACAAGCACTTCTTTGCACTACAGTTATATCTCAAATGAATGATGAGTTAGTAAAAAGCCCTTTCTCCTTTTGCCTGTAGGAAATCTTTAATGCTGATCCAGGAGAAAAGCTTTCCAACCTGTGGCAGAACTGCGCTGAGGACCAACTCTTTGACTTTGTATTTTCCAAGGGGTAACTTGGTCCCTGTCCAGTGGAAGCCGTGCTTAGGCCATGTGTCACGGGCAGGTGTTATTCCCTCCCCTCTGTGCTGCTCTGGGCACCTCAGGGTCTGGCAAAGAGTGTGATTATACAAACAGTAGGATTTACAAAGGCTGCTGCTCAGGAGTACCTACTGCCCAGGTGAGTACAGCTCTTTACAGGATCAGGAGGTAGGTTTCTTCTCCTAAAGAAAAAAATAATTCTTCCTTTCTGCCAGATTCTGCTCACTGCATACGTGAACGATCAAATAAATTCCTGCACTTCCTAAAATGGGAAGTGATTTGTGCCCACAAATTTAAAATAATGATGAAGTTAGTAATGTGCTGAACTGGCTTAACCTTAGCTCCCTCTGTTGAAGATTTCTTACAGATTAAGCAAGCTTTACATTTCTGTTGCTTTCGGCCTGCAACAGCTGTTGACGGCACGAAAAATATGCTAACCACCAGTTGTACGCAGTCAAGCTGGGACTGCGTATCAGTTTGTTGCACGAGGCTCTTCGCCTGAAGTGTCTTTGACTTCTGCCCAGCTTCTGGAAGCTTTAGGACTGGGAGAACAAACCAGTCAAGATCACCATCTATTAAACGAAGCGTGTATAAAACCTGGGTGGAGAGACATCCATTCAGGTCAGACACCTTCCCCTTGGACTGTGGCAGAGGCAGGATCTGTGACGAAATATGACATACATAAGTCCATGAAAATACACAAGCCCATAAAAAATGGCATACGTGAGTCCATGGGGCCAGATGGGGTCCACCCAAGGGTACCGAGGGAGCTGGTGGAGGTGCTCACCAAGCCCGTTTCCATCACCTGTCAGCAGTCCAGGATGACTGGGGAAGTTCCACTTGACTGGAGATTGGCAAATGTGACACCTGTTTACAAGAAGGGCCAGAGGGAGGATCCAGGGAACTACAGGCCTGTCAGTCTGACCTCGGTGCCAGGGAAGGTTATGGAGCAGATCGTCTTCGGTGCCATCACACAGCATGTCTGGGACAATCAGGAGATCAGGCCCAGTCAACATGGGTTTATGAAACGCAGGTCCTTCTTGACCAACCTGATCTCCCCCTATGACAAGGTGAACCATTTAGTGGATGAGGGAAAGGCTGTGGATGTAGTGCACCTGGACTTTAGTAAAGCCTTTGACACCATTTCCCATGGCATTCTGCTTGAGAAACTGGCTGGCCATGGCCTGGACAAGCATACTCTTTGCTGGGTAAAAGCCATCTGGATGGCTGGACTCAAAGGGTGGTGGTGAATGGAGTTAAATCCAGTTGGAGGCTGGTCACAAGTAGTATTCCCCAGGACTCAGTGTTGGGGCTAGTTTTGTTTAACATTTTTATCAATGAACTGGACAAGGAGATCGAGTGCACCCTCAGTAAGTTTGCAGACACCAAGTTGTGTGGGAGTGTCAATCTGCTCGAGAGTAGGAAGGATCTACAGAGGGACCTGGACAGGCTGGATCGATGCGCTGAGGCCAAGTGTATGTGGTTCAACAAGGCCAAGTGCCAGGTCCTGTACTTGGGTCACAACAACCCTGTGCAACGCTACAGGCTTGGGGATGAGTGGCTGGAAAGCTGCTTGGCAGAGAGTGATCCGGTGGTACTGGTCGACAGCTGGCTGAGTATGAGCCAGCAGTGTGCCCAGGTGGCCAAGAGGGCCAACAGCATCCTGACTTGTATCAGGAATAGTGTGGCCAACAGGAGCAGGGAAGTGATCGTGCCCTGTACTTGGCACTAGTGAGACTGCACCTTGACTACTGTGTTCAGTTTTGGGCCCCTGAGTTCAAGAAGGACATTGAGGCACTGGAGCATGTCTGGAGAAAGGCAAGGAAGCTGAGGGAACTGGGATTGTTTAGGCTGGAGAAGAGGAGGCTGAGGGGAGACCTTATCAACCTCTACAACTGCCTGAAAGGAGGTTGCAGTGAGGTGGGTGTTGGTCTCTTCTCCCAAGTAACAAGTGATAGGATGAGGGGAAATGGCCTCAAGTTGCACCAGGGGGTGTTTAGATTGGATATTAGAAACAATTTCTTCACTGAAAGGGTTATCAGGCACTGGAATGGGCTGCCCAGGGAAGTGGTCGAGTCCCCATCCCTGGAGGTATTTAAAAGATGGGTAGCTAAGATGCTTAGAGACATGGTTTAGTGGTGGACAGGTACAGTTGGACTCAGTGATCTTAAAGGTCTTTTCCAACCAAATGATTCTATGAAATGTCCCATGACTCAGAGGGTTGCATTTTGACAATTTGACCTTTGGTCACGGACCAATATCTAGTTTTCTTGCGGTCAGCTGAGCCCCGAACAACTTTGAGAGCATGTGTCTGGTGATTGCGTGGAGTCACAAGTCAGTAAAAGGATGCTTTCTGTGCATTTTATACAGGAACGTGAAGACATTAACTAAATCACACATTTTCTTTCTTGGTCAGCACAAAGGCTGTCCTCTCCATTTGAAAGCCCTAGATAAATGCAGAGGAAGCCATGTGGATTAAAATTAAACACAAGATTTACTTCAGCAGATGTCCCTTTCAGAGCATTCACAGGCTCTTATTGGATCTGTACACTAAAGGGCAGGTCTCTTGCCCCATGATTCCTTAAAGTGTTGCGAGATCACTCTGCCTATTGACTCATGGTCAGCCCTTCCCCGCCTCTTCTTTCCCAGTCACCGCTCCACCTTCCACCCTAGTCTTAATAGTTAAGCATAAGATTTGAAACAAGACACAGCATCTCATGCTTTTGCCCATGTTTTGGTGTAAGTCTCTATGGTGAGATAGCTTGCTTACTGTGCGTGTCGGTAGAAACATCTGCAGCAGAAGCATTTCCTGACGGCTGGCTTTGGGAGCAGTAAGGGCCCAGCTCCCCCTGAGCCGAGATGGGAGTAAGTGCATGACCACACTGCAGGCTTTTCCCTGCTGGAAGGGAAATCCCAACCAGGCTTTTATGGTGAGCCAGCTTTTTCACTGTACAAGACATGACCACCTTACCGAGACAGGTAACCTGCAGTTAGTGCATCTGCTTGTGTGTCCAGGAGAATAAGTCCACTCAAGCCAGAAGGTTCACTATAAGTTTAGGTATAGCCATCGTGTTCAATTCCTTAGTGTTCAATTCCCCATCCCTGCCTTTTCATAGGAAGTGAAAAATGATACCTTTCATAAATTTTAAGCCTCTAATGAGGGGTATTAAGCCTGTATTTAGAAACCTGCAAATGCAGCAAAGGCACTTGACCTTTTATGTTTATGTGTAATAGAGCTCACCAATTTGCCTTCTCTCTTAGCAAGCAGCAAATTCAGTCAGAAAAATTCAGCTTCAGACAGACCTAATGTTTGGCAAACGCAAATTAAGTTTACGAACAGTTTTGCTCAAAGGAGTGCCATGGGGCATTGAAAATACCAGGTATTTCTTTTCAGAAAAGTTGGTGTGTTTAAAGTTTTTATTGTCTCAGATGCTGGTTTTATACTTGAGAATATGAGCAGGGTTGTAACAGCTCATTTAGTAGAAGCATTTGGAATTACTTTTTCTAGTGCATTTGCTTCAGCATTTCATGTCAGGAACGCTCAGTCCTGAGTCAGCTGGCAGACTGTTCACTTTCTTTATCTTAGCACTGCTATTTATGAGGTAAGGAAAAACCGGTTACCTTACAGAATGCATTTATCCTAAGAGCTTCTCCGGCTTAGCGGGGGAGCAATGACGCTCTCCCCAATTCACAGGGAGCTACATGCATACATGATATTTAAGCACAAATTCTTGATGAATAGCCAGGGAACCATCTATTCAGAAGATGCAATTCAGCCTAGAGACACAGAGTGGAGGTCATTGGTGTGTCAGCTGATGGCTGACCCAAACTCGTTTGTGGTCTCTGTATTGATGCTTTGATTCCCTTTACACCCTGCAGAAATTCTCTCATGAAACTGGAAAAACCACAGAGCCAAGTCAGGGCCGGTCAGCTGCTTTTCTTATTTCAATTAATGTTTTGTTATCCCTCTGTAAAAGGGAAATAAAAGTTAAGAAATAAACATCTGTGTACAAGTTGCAGCAGATAAGAGAGCTTTGTTCTTCAGTTCATGCATGTGGTCGAAGTATTGATGAGAATTGGAGATGCCATCTGTTTATGTTTGGATAGTTAAATCACGAGCTTTCGTCCCCTTGTGGACCCTTGCAATTGCATCACATTGTATGAACGACTACGGAAAGGACTCAGACGTGCTTTATGAGTCGTAGACAATCTGTGATTCACAGAAGTAGGCCAATGCAATTAGTGAAATGTTAAGCCTTGTAATGTAATGTAACATGTGCTGTCTGCCCGATTCCATCCACACCGGTTTCAGCAGGGATCACATTACACAAATGTGTTACTTAACAAGCAAATATCAAAAGCTTTTAAAGAGAAGCCTTCCTAAAAACTTTATGCTGCTTTGTGAGAAGTATTGGATGGTCTCACCAGAAGCCCCCAGGGAGTCCTGAGCAGGCGCAGGACCTGGGCAGGGAGGGCACGCTCTCTGTTTACAGATACATGCTGAAAGGCTGAAGGAGGAGAAATCCTTCACTTCCACCTTTCCAAATGTGAGAGTTCCCCCCAAAAATCTCTCCATACCACCCTTTGTGATTCAACAAATGAATCATTCGATATCACAATCGCTTTCAAGGAAACTGAAGTGGATTAAGAGGATTGAGGAGAACAGGGTTTAAAAACTTTGTTAGTTTTGGTTTGGGTTTTTTTTTGGTTGCTTGGTGGTTTTTTTTTTCTTTTGAGCAGTTTATTACTGTAGGAGAAGTTTTCTGTTCCTGGAAGTATGTGAGGGTGATCTGGCAAAGTGAGCGAGACAAAAGGATCAATGTCTGTGCCTTAGTTTTGCTACGATGCAATAGAGCTGTAGGTGCCTTGTGAAGCACATAAGTGAAGTACTTCATCCTGCCCAAAACCCAGAATTCTACTTTTAAAGGAGCAAGGCATCCCCCATGGCTCCAGTAGTGACTTTCCAACAGCAACTGCTCTAATTGTGAGAGGAACCTTAAATCCAGCATAAATGCATTAGGGGAATACTTGCATTTGATACCAGATGACAGAACTCACCGAGTTCCTGCATCGAAAGCTCACTATGTCCCCAGTGTATTGGTCTGCTGAAGGAGGTTAGAGGAAAGAAAAAAGAAGAATAAGAAAAAAATTAAGAAAACTCTGTTGAAAATATTAGGTGAAGAAAGAACTTGTCTAGCTGAAACGCTGGATGTCTTTGATTAGTGGTTAATCTTGAGGAAGAATTAACACCGAGAGACCAAGGCAGTTCTTGGAACCGATTGCGGAGACAGGAGGAAGAAATGGTGAATCTCTGTCTCTGTGCACCAGAAACAAATTTGAACTCAAAAACCAGGGAAGTTTTGAGTATGGAAGTCAACAGAAAATTAACAGAAGTGAATAGAAAGCTGTCCTGGGTTGATGAGCAAGGAAATAATCCATTTATTCTTTTGTGCTTAAGGAGAACAGGAGTCTGCATGTCCTGCTTCTCAAAGACCATGGCAAAATAAAAATAATCTCTCATTCGGATTACTAGTTGTTCTCCTTCCTCCCCGAATTAAGCAATAGTCTGAAGTGCTTAAACAGCAGTTACTCAAGCGTTCTTTGCCTGAATTTATACCGGGTATGGTAAAAGGCAAAGTAGGTAGGCAAAAGGGGTTTAGCCGCCTCTGTTCCTTGCCCCGTTCGTTTGCCTGGAGGTTTCCGAATCTGCAGACAGAGGCCTCTTGCCCAAGCGCAGCTCGATGGCGCAGTGGGTGTGTTCCCGGGTGACAGGGCTGTGCTGGGGGGAGCCACCACCGCAGCGCGTGGTGCTGCTTCTGGCTGGCTCAGGCTTACGGGGACTTCAGCTGGCGAGCGCTGCCCTGCCCCACGGCGCAATCACCG